ATTGGTTATTGGATATGTATACGTGCATGATAATACTAATCCATATAAACGGACTCACATTTTCTGTCCAATTTTAGTGTTTTAAATAATGTCTAATCAATTATATAATATCACATCATGTAAAAAATATAAATTATTTTTTAACTAATTTTTGTTGTTGTACGGACATGATTTGAAATTATTTTTTAACTAATTTTGTCTAAGTTGTAGAAAATTTAGAACCCGTTTAAAAAGTATATTTAAATCATAATTCTTAATTTTGACGTTTGAAATTTAATTATTCATTTACATTTTTTGAGTTAGGATAACTTGAGTTTAGATCTTGATTTGAGTTAAGGTGTATTTGAGTATGGTTTGAGTTTGAACTATAATTTGAGTTTGTGTTTGAATGTGCACATTTTGAATTATGGTTTGAATTGAGAATCTATTTGAGTTTGTGTTTAGGTGGGTTAAAACTTAAATTTGTATTTAGATAGTATTTTAATAAAAACTCAATAGTGATGAAAAATTTTAATATGATATATGGGTGGAGTTTAATTCTTCTCTTCGTTGTGAAAGTATAGAAAAAAGTTCATCTCAATCGAAATTAAAACGAAAAAATTATGACGTTTTTAAGAATAGAAAAAATATTGTTCATTAATTTGAGTTTGAGTTTAAGAACTTGAGTTGAAAAAGGAACTTGAACTCAGATTTTAGCTCAAAACTCAAGTTAAAACTCAAATTTTACAAAAGAACATGAACTTAAACAAAGTTGTAAGTTGAGTTCAAATTTTTTTTGAGCTTGAGTGTAAATTAATAAGCCCAAAGTTTTTTTGAGAAAAAAATACTGTAACAGAATTAATAATTTAAGTTTGAGTGTATAAAACAGACAGAGTAAAGAGTGAAAAGAACAAAAAACTTTTTTTTTTTCGTTTTCTCTAAAACAAATATCAAAGGATTACAAAAGATATAAGTTTAAGGACTAGAAAATAAGCTGAACAGGAAGGGAACCCTATAATTATATCATGCAGTGCCAAACAAGTGTTAACGTCTAGTTTGTGGATTCAAAATTATAATTTAAAATTATTTTTATTTTATGTGTATTTTTTATGAGAAATATTATAATAAATCACGAACTATAATTTAAATTATGATATAAATCTTTCTTTTAAACGCACGCATGTTATACTTTATATTATCGGCCACTAGTAGTAGCAGTAGCCGCTATAGCTAGGTAGCGGCCAGATCATCGTTTTGATCTGCATTATGCAAAACCCAAACAGCGAATATTTATGGATAGCCCCTGATGCCTGTGAAATGGTGGACACAGGAATCACTCATCGTCCTTGGCTTTTGGCGTATAAGTAACAAACTTTTTTTTTTCATTTTTTTTTTTTTTAAATTTTGAGTGGATATAGAGCCAAAAAGGACAAATTGTCCCTTCCTCCTATGTCCGACTCTACCCAGTACCTGGACCTTACCGACATGCTCTTCCAATACTTTCATTGTATTTGTAGACTGATAAATCTCTGCTTCTCTTCCTCGTTAAGTATTATATTATATTATTTTAAGAAAAGGAGACAAATACGTACGTTTAGATTGTATGCGTTTAAATTTTTACTTCATAGTTAAAAAATATATTAATTAAAAAAGTATTAATTAAAATTAAAAAATAAAAATTCAGATTTATAAACACTACAGATAAATTAAATAATTTTCTCTGTTATTAATATTATATAGAGAAAATTAGAAAATATAACTCAATAGGCTAATCTTGAAAAATACCTTTTAAAAGTATATGAGTTAAAATTTTTACTTTTTATTTTGATTTATAACTTTTTTAGTCAAATAATTATACTAATAAAAAAATATTTATAAAGAATAAAAAATAAAAATTCAGATTCATACATTCTCATCATCCGTAAATTCTCTATTTTTTCAAGGGAGAAAGAGGGAAATAGGCCAAGACTTGAGATGCATTAAAATTAATAGGTTAATAGTTTACATAAGTTAATAAATAGGCTAAATTACTGTTTTCGTCTATAATTTGTCCAGTTATGAATCATAACTTGACAAGTTTTTGTCCATAATTGTCCATAACTTGTCTGGCTATGAACCATTACTTGACAAGTTTGTCTATAACTTATCTGATTATAAACCATAACTTGATAAATTATGACCTATTAATTTTTATAACTAAAAACTAGCCTAGGTAGGTAGGGATTTCACCAGTCTCATTGTCACAGGGGGGTGGGTACATACTTTCACATACAAAAGGACGGAGAGGGAGCACAGGTCGACTGGTCTCGGCGGGAGTCCCAGCTTTTTTGATCGAAAGCCTCATCCCTTATATCTTTAATGCACGGGTCCTTTCGATTAAGTGCAAGATGGTAGCGATCATTTCTACCGCTTCAAAGGCTCAGGCAAAGAACGGCGCCAATCCAATAGTAAGGCACCAGGCTCACAAGAGTCGGGGACAGAGCGAGGGAGGTCCTCTTTAAAATATAGGAAATTGAAGCTT